CTGTTCACGGTCCTTGCGGAGACTTTTCGTAAGTTTCCTTTCCGGAATAAGTCTTCTAGCATCTATCAGTTCGGATGAGGCGGTGGAGATCCAGTGGTTTTTACTCACCTTTGGGTTTACCTTATTCACAGCTTTTACAGCTGTATCTATGGTTGCCTGGATATTTTCCCAAGCTTCTTCAGGGTGAGCACAGCTGTCGAACACAGATATGTGTTTAGCTAGTTCTTCCTCAAATAGGGATTTAGTTTCCTGATCGAGCTGGGGATGTGATGGTTTTACCGCCAGCTGTTTCCTACGTCCGTTCAGTCGTAAGCTCACCCGAGCGCGGACCAGTGCATGGTCGGTATTTACGCACGTGTTCCAGAAGGAGCGACAATCTCCTACCGACCCACGCCAACGATAGCTTATTGCTATGTGGTCTATTTGTGTCCAGCGTTGGTTTGATGAAGGGGGTCTCCAAGTCAAACAGTGTCTCTCCTTGTGTTTGAAGTTAGTGCTTACAAGAAACAAATGATCGTTGAGGTCAGTCAAGGTTAAGTCCATCAGTACCTCTATGATGAAATTAAACAGAAATGTGCAGTGGGCACCCTTGACGGACACCACTGGTTGTGACCACTTCATACGACAACTCGCCGTAGGCTGTCACCTGGCTGGCTGCATGAGTTTGAGTAGAGTGCCTTGATCAGTGCGATGTATTTTTTCGGCACTGCCTTCACAGCTAAACATCGCCATAGTAGCTCACGGTCGACAGAATCAAATGCTGCTTCCAGGTCAAGAAATATGGCAATTGTTGGGTACCGGTAAGTATGCCTATGTTCCAGAATCTGTCGAAGGGTGAAGATATGATCGCTTAACACTCTTCCTGGTCTAAAGCCTGCTTCGTTCTCTCGTACTTATGGAAATAAATGTGAATAGACCGTTGCTAATGAAGTCTATAACTATTGTGAAGTCTTGAAAACTATTAAATCACGAATGTGTTGGCATAAGTGGTCGAAATTGCTTGCAGTATCACCCATTTGTGATTTTATGATGGAAACCAAATCAGTATAAGAAATTATTAATGATAGGTGGGTAGACAAAAACTACTGAAACTTGATGCGATGGGGTTATTGTTACAAGCTGTTGGATTTCATACTCTATTTGTGAGAACTCATTTGCCATTATTTTAATTTCATTTGATTTGCGACTTAACTACTATGCTATTTCATCTGAAAACTAAAGTCTCCCTATCAAGGCATATACTCACAGGAATGTTTATTTTTATTGTATGTATTAATTTGACTCAATTCGATGATATTAACAGTCTAATCAGTTGGGTTTTTTTTGTATATTGTAGGTACCCCGTGATGTATTAACTAGATCAAGTTTGTACTTTCATGCTGCTTTTGAGAGTGGTATGGCTGAAAGCAAAACTAAACAATTCAGTTTTCCTAATTTTACTGCTCATCAATTGGCTATGGTTGTTCATTTTTCACGATATGAATATACAATCTGGGGTGATGCTTTAGATATGCAGAATGATAATTCAGATTACTGTTCTAATTGTCCAGAAAAGTTCAAAATTTTAGAAGCACTGGATTTAACAGATGCGGCAGATTATTTTCAAATGCCTAAACTTATTCAGATGTGTGTACAAAGACTATCTTACATTATGGATAATTTGTTTCAACCGAAATCTATTCATTTGCATGAGTCACACGGTTGTGACATATTTTCTACCATATTAAAAGAGCTTGTCAAAGTTTCTCATTGTGGAAATGCTTGTGTTAATAAACTTTTCTCGGGATACACCTGTAAATATCCTCATTTCCTCCTCAGACCATGTCTTTCAGAATCGAATTTACAATTAGATCTTATTAATCTTGTTGTTAACTACTTATCAAAAAATATTATATGCATACCAGATGAAGATGTTGTTCTAGACATTGTCCTCGGCTGGTTACAGACATTAAAGTCGACTGAATTTTATAATGAAAATATTGTCCATTCGTTTTTACACTGTATTCGCCCAGGTCTTCTTTCTGTACAAGGACAAATTAAGTTATTGGAGTACTGGCATAAATACCATGCTGAATTTAAATGGTACGGGAAGTTGACATATGATGATATGAAAACATTCTTTAAAAGTATTCCACTTGGAGGAATGTTTTCTAAGCCTTCATCCCCTTTTTCGCAAATACAGCTGTCTCTATTAAAACCCAGGGCTGAATCCTTATGCTTGCTGGGATTGGCGCCAAACAGTTCGAACAACTTGGAATTTTGGATTTTCAACCTTCATAATGGAACCTATCATAATTGTCCTTTACCAGCTCATTGTCTCCGTGAATCAGATCTTGATTCATATGGTTTTGGTGATATAGATCGTCGCATTTACTTTTGCCCACTAACTTACGGGCCTAGTTTTTACCAAAATAGCTTGTTTGTCGTATGTTTTGATCCAGATAGTGGAGCTTTGAATGGATTTGCTTGGTGTCTGGCTACTTGCCGTGCGAAATCTATTCCCCGCCTCTTCCTATATCCTTCAAATAACAGAAATAATTCACTAAGCTTCTTTTCTTTCCTATCTAGATGTATCGGACTAACTACGTTATCTAGTGGTCTCTATATGTATTATGTCTTATCCCTACAAGAAGTCGCGTGGTTATATGCTTTTCGTTTCGATCTAAGTACATGGGAATGGTATGAAATGGAACCTTATTGTTTATCTGAAAGCCAAAATGGAATTTCTCTATTTACTCCAATCGAACAATTGAGTCCTGTCGCTCCTGATGGCTGGCTTTATGCAAATATTGAGACAGTTTCCTCTTCAAATAACTCCAGACATCTCCGATCACAGCTATTTCGATTTCGCCCACAACCCGACAAAAAACTGTTAATTGGGGAATATTTACCGAATCCTCCTTTCCCGATAAGGATGTATCGTCTGTTTGCTATCACTTGCTCTTCAAATGGCGATTGTTGTGGTGAGTTATAACAGTTTTAGTTTACTGTAAATTATGGTCAGTTTATATTGTGAATAATTCATCATTTGGTGGATTTTTGCTAACAATAGAATCGAGGATGCGCATGTGCTGATATTCCCATGGTGATTCAAACCCAGTATGCATCGTTCCAAACTCTAAGACGTTTGACCAGTCGGGTCAAGGTGACTACCTCTTGTGCGACAGGTGTCAGTTATCACTTGTTTTTAATCAGATTTATATTTCCCCTTTGATTGACTAGACCAAAATATTTGGTGTCTGTTGACACTACTTCAAGTTAATCCAAAGGCGTCGTTGAGTCGTCTGCACTAGGAGCCGAACGTGTCGAAAGAGGTGGAACATTTCGCTGCAATCAATCATCGGAAAAATCGCAATTCAATTGAAAATTAATCACTTATTATTATTATTCCCTTGAGCTCCGACTGGAACATATGCAGAACAGAACATCATTTCATTTCATTCTCTGTAGTCCCTTCTTGATTGCCCACTAGCTTTCATTTCGTCCTCACATGATCTCTCCCCATTCGACTTCCACTCTTGGATCTGCCTAGTACGTGATATCACTCCTCAGCGTGTGTTCACTTAATCTCCATTTCCTCTGACAAAATTTTTGTGCAATAGTGATATGTATCCACATGATGTGTGTTTTGTTTTTGACAGTCTGTTATATTTTGCTATATGTATATGGATCGATATTCCATTATAACTGACATTATGCTTTTGTCTGTCCACTAACTAAATAAACAATGTATGACCTTATTATCACATGACATTACAACCAATCATGGTAAGACGTCATCTTATTGGTTCATGTGTATTAGCCATTTTCACACATACTCTTGCTTTATTATTCTTGTTCCCACGTTTCATACACCTAAGTACCCTTCCACTCACACACTTGTGTGACATTTATTTTCCTTGTCTGGAAAATACAAGTATCATCGTAAACCTGATGGTCTTCTGATTTCTCTCTTTCCGCGTCAGGACTATTAATTACTCGACGAGTACATAACATAACTGGCGACGGGAAAAAATTTAATAACTCACTCAGCAGCAGTACATAACAAATAGGTTTTAAGTTGGCTCGTTTCCAGAGTTCCTTTCTGTCTAGTCATCTGATCTTCATCGTGTAACGGGAGTAGCAATTGATGAAAGCTGTCAATCTCTTTGAAATGCTTTTGTTGACTCATCAAGTCTCTGAATCCTATAGAAGCACTGACTTCATATTAGTGCTGAAAATCAGAGCCTTTTTCGTTGCACTGACTCCAGTAGATTTTCATACTGATTTCCTTTCACATAGATTCTATTTAAGCGCGAAAACTGTTTTATATAGAAATTTGGGGAGAATGTTCTTACTAACATAAAGAATTTCATATAATATTATGCTACTTGAATTAATCAGTATGGAATCTGTCTGTCTGTCTGGATTCAACATAGAACTTGGCACCGAAGTGCAGCAGTTCGAGTTGCCACGTTCCAAATAGCCCACAGAGGTAGACACGAAGATGAGTGAAGAGAATTAATAGAGTTTGACAAGTATAAGAGTGAAACAGAATGGGTAATGGTAGAAAGAAATATGAAAGATTACAGAGACTGAATACATCTGCGCTGGCCATTGACAACGATCACTTTGAGCCATGTCGCCTATTATCTCCAGCCATTGATTCCTAGAGTCCCGAGGGCCCCAACCCGGGAGTCTGCATCTCCCTACCTGACTCAGTTTAACTGTCAAGGATTTCATGGATTGATGCCATGTTTTTGTTTGGCCACCACTGGCTCTTTTCCAACCTGAACCTATATCAGCTAGCAAAGCCTGTCGGGGGAGGCGGTGGTTAGGCATGCGCAGCACGTGACCTAGCCATCTTAGTCTATGTAACTTTATAGCCTCGTCGATTGATTTTCCCTCTTTGCCCAACACTCTACGCCTAACATCAACATTACTCATCTTGTGAATCTTCACATAATAATCTACGCAGTGCTAAGCATAACCTTTGTATTCCTTGTTTCTCTTCATTTTAGACAAGACCTACTTATTCCCTATGGGAACGTGTTCTCGTGATTTAGCGGCTACACATTATTGCTTTGATACATCATCTTGTCAGTGGTTACGATGGTCACCTGTTCAGACACCACCAAGCAGTAATAATGAGTTGGAGGCTGTTAATCGACCACCATTGGAAAATACTGGATTAGTATTTAATCTATGCCCAAAAATCCTTGGCTTTCGTGGACTTGTCTGTGCTACACACCTTTTGAATGAATCTGTAGGAGAAAATGATTCATTGCTTCTTAAATCATCACCATATCCTTCTGCATCAAGCTATATCACAAACTCTGCTTCATTTGATGAATCCCCTAGTCTCTCTCGCTCTTCATCTGCAAAAGATGATGACGGTGATGATGATGATGAAATGAAAAATGCTGAAATCGTGTCTAGTGTAAATGAAAACAGATTGACAACAATGTTAGTTTTAGCCGGTAGACCAGATCAAAATAAACAAGTCTCCTGTGGGATATGGTTTCATCATCCTAAACAATATTTCAATCATAATAATAATAATAATAATGGTAATAATACTGATGACGATAATGCTGAAACAATTAAATTATTCAATGCTCAAAAACCAAATTATTTTCTACCAACTGCAGTTGTTCAAACAATAAGTCAGTATTTTTCACCAGCAGCTGTTGTCTTAGCTAACTGGACGCATATTATACAATCTGTAAATCCGATTAACTTTTTCAACGATTATTCATTGGAAAGACAATCGTCATCAGAAGAAGAAGAAGGAAAAACGAAAAACGGTATAAATTATGAGTCAAGTAGACTCATATAATAATAATGATAATAATCAAATGATTAGTGAAAATTATGGTTGTTCATGGGATAGTGATTAAACAGCCTTTAAAAGTCAATCTGAAGGAAAAATATTCTTTTCAATAATTTCTCTTCAGGTTCTTACAATTATAAAATATATAATATTTGTGGTCGTCATAATTTATGCCCTTTATGTAAACATTCCCTCAATACTATCGAATTTTCATTTATAAGGATTTATTATTAGTGATATTATCTATTTTCTCAATATATGCCTCTACCTGTTTCATTTAACATATTCGTTATCTCACTATGAACCTCGCATTCCAGTCTTACTATCTCCTGTTTAACTCAGACCACTTTCTACTAGCCACTCCACTTACCTGACACTTTCGATAACCTTGAACTGACTCGTCAATTTTCCTACCCCACACTCTACAAATCTATTATGATTAATCACCACCATCCTCTCCCGTTTTACAATATTTCCTAATCGATTTCAGCCAATTAGCACGTTTGTCACACAAATGTGACTATTGATTTTGACACCCCATAACGAATCTGTTATTTTGTACATTAAAAATGTATCCACCGCATAACTGGGCTTTATTGTAACGACCACAAATATTATAATATTTTATAATTGTAAGAACCTGAAGAGGAGAAATTATTAGAAAGGAATATTCTTCGTTCAGATTGACTTTTAATTCAATAGAATGGGAATATTTCACACTATCAAATCTTAAACAACCTTTCCTTTTCTTTTATTAAGAGAAATCAGTTCACACTAAAAAGAATGAAAGAAGTGGACAGAATGCATTTATATATACATATAACACTTTTTATCAGTGCAGTTCACATGTATATAACTTAATTTAAAGAGATTAACTTCTATATGTGTATATATATACAGATGTAGACAAGATAAGTTTATTTCACAAAATATATATAACCAATTACAGTATTATAGTGATTAATATTTCCATTACTAACTGGATAATGTTTAACATGATTATCTGGAGAGTAAATCTAAATCGTGTTATTATTTACAAACTACTGCTAGATGATGATGCCCAGATCTTTACTTACTCTTACCTTTTTTAAAAAAACGACAGTGATTCATTGACACATAGATTTTTTTATATTTATTCTTCATTGCATTTATTTTATACTCTTGTTCAAACTACTTATAAATTTGAAGAAAAAACGAACAAAAACAACAACGACATTTGATTCGTTATTTTCTCCTTGGGGTGTATGTATTACATTTATTATTATTTTTTTTTGCGTTTTATTAATCTGTGCCTTTCTTTGTACAAGAAAAATATTTCTTTGAGTGAATGTTCTACAATGTGATTACCACCTTCATTGTTTTTTTTATTTTGTAGTATTTATTACATACAGTTAACTGCCATCATGATTGAGTTTGCTTATTTTGTTAAGTATAGTCATTTATTCATTCATTTGTTCATCCCTTCATCCTATTTTGTAATGTCTGTCGTGTCATTTCATTAGAGAGAACTTGATGATATCTGTGAGCACTTTAGTTTTCTATATATATATATATATATATATCCACATCTATATATCTATTGATCTATGCATTCATTAATGACCATTAGAGTTTCCTTGTATTAATAAAAGAAATAACTGATTCCGATTAGTAACTTACCTCCATAATGATAAAGTAGACGACATCATGAATTGACTGATATCAGTTAAAGAAGCATTGAAAACCACAAAGTGTGATCCTAGCCTTAAGATAGGGAGTGAAGTGATAGAGCATGTTGACTACTTCACTTATTTTGGTACGAAATTGTATTAACATCCAAATGAACTGACGAAATTTCAACAGGAGGATGCAAAAGATGCATGGCTAGTATTTATCATTTTCGCTGGTGTGGATGTGATATCTTGCTATCGATCAAAGGACGGTGTGTCCTCTGCAACAATTCGTAATGTCATTTTTTATAGCTTTGAGCCATAAGTCTTTGAAAGTGGAAGATATGAGAAGGCTAGCTGTCTTTGACCTCAGATGTTTGCGTGCTATTCCCTGTGTTAAGTAATACAAAATGGTGAGCAGTATTGAGGTTTGGTAAGCTGGGTAGGTTAATCAATGGCTAGGGCATGTGTTGCTCCTGCCGAACCATCGCCTTCTTCGACATGTTTGGGTTGGAAAAGAGTTAGGAATAGTCAATTCAAAGCATGACATCAATCTATCAAGACTTCGCAAGTTATTTTGAGCCACATACAGAGGAGTAGACTACCTAGTTGGGGTTTCTGGTATGCCAAGAATCAATGGCTGGAAAAATTATTCTCAGTGGGGAAGATACACTCACTCTTTGTGATGCTCCATATCCACTTAGCCGTCACGTTTTTCGGTGTTACTATTAATAGAGTCCTTTTGAATCAATTATTTTCTTTCACTCCTCCACCTTTGTGTGCTACATGAAATGTTACAGCTTGAAGCGCTGTACTTTTTGATTAAAGTTTTGCGTTGAAACTCAGTCAGTCATCAGTTAGAGAACCATTGAAAACCAAAGAGTACTGAATAGCTTAAGCTAGAATTCATGGGCTATCAGATTCTGACACGTCTACTGGATGATCAGTGGACCCTCCTCGTAACCTTAGCATCCTACCTTCGATACCCAATGAGGTCGTACTGTTGAGGGTTCTTGATTGGAACGAAACAGCTGTTTAGTTACTCCCTGATTGTCGCTTGTTTTTGAAATGATGTCAGTCCGTGATCTAACTTAGTATCAGTCAAATATCAGGAAACTAACACTTTGAAATACATGTTCTTTTATAATGAAACGCCATGACTTCTGACTATGGGTCTTCATTATGCTGTAGTGTAAGTCACCATCAAGATGTGTATTTGTTCATTAAGAAAATAAGCAATCTGTTATGACACTGGGAATTCTCTGAGATTCAGTTCATTCATGAATCTGCAATGAACTATATTGCATTCAATTTACCAAATTTGTTGTTGTGATTTATGAGTTATCTGTGCTAAGTGATTTAACCTAAAGATGTGGCTTACTGTCTTCGGCATTCAACTGCTAGTCGATAGGTCATAGGTTCGAGTTTTACTTCATCATGGGCACGTGGGCAGTATCATCAGTCGTCACACGATAAGTATGGCTCTCAGTCTAGTACATGAAAAATCGCTTTCGTGTAATTGAGCTTAAACTTAAACAGCTATGTGATTTAACGTGAAGATGTGGCTTATTCGTTTAAGCACTCGACTTTAAACAAGTAGATGCTGAGTCCGAACATCACTCCTCCTACTTCAGCCTGAGCAACTGTTTATTCTCATCAGACGTCATACAGTTAATGTCTAGCTCACGCTTAGTACATAAAAGATTTGAGCAAGATAGCTGAGTTCTAACAATATGATTTGGCGCTGCAATCTACCATTGCTTCAAGTTAATAAATCAAAAATGTAAGTGTCCCTCTGCTGGTATTTGACCACCACAACTATTTCGCCATAGTCAAGCACTCCTCAGTGGTATGCACCCATCAACCCCACCAGTGACGAATCTAGAACTTGTAGGAGTTAGGATTGATGAGCTGTTTGGTTCTGTCCCAGTGACTGAATAGTCAAAGAGATTAAATAAAATATAGTTATGTTTCAATAGTTTACACACAATGATGAGTTTTGTTATTGGTAATATTTCGAGCAAAATTACTGCCCATGTTCACACCACTGTTAGAATTGTTTTATTCACACATTTATGATTTGTACTCATATATATAGTTCATTATTATTGTGCTCACTCATGTTTTTTGTGTGCATATGTGTGTTCAGAATTATACTCCACATTCATTCATGTGTTTGTATTTAGAATTATATTCCAAGTTCATTATAATAGAGGTTTTTTTTGTATTTCCCAATGAATGAAAAAACAAAACGAGATTGTTGTTTTTACTGACGTTTTGCTATTTAATGCTGCTAATAGCTATATCAAAGTATTATTAAACCGGAATTTACAAAATCTCAGCATATATATAACAAAGAATTAGGGGGTGAGAAAAATATAGACTTAGTTCAACTTAAAAGGACATATTGAAAGTCAAAATAACAATGAAGATCGTTCAAACCAAATATCAAAGGTAATAGTATATCTGTTATTATATCAAAATAAAGTTTACTAAGTTGATCATCGTTCGTTACTCTGGGGTTATTTTTGGTTGTCAAGTTCGAGAATAGGTAAAGGTAACCAAACTAAGTGTAGGCTGTGAAATACTTGATCATCATTCATCAGTCTGGGTCGTTTTTTTGTTGTCAAGTTAGCGAACTGGTAAAGATAGTAAAACCAACTTGACAACAAAAAAACGACCCAGACTGATGAATGATGATCAAGTATTTCACAGCCTACACTTAGTTTAGTTACCTTTACCTACTCCCCAACATGACAACCAAAATGACCTCATACTGACGAACGATAATCAAGTATTTCACATTCTACACTTAGTTTGGTTACCTTTACCTATTCTCGAACTTGACAACCAAAAATAACCCCAGAGTAACGAACGATGATCAACTTAGTAAACTTTATTTTGATATAATAACAGATATACTATTACCTTTGATATTTGGTTTGAACGATCTTCATTGTTATTTTGACTTTCAATATGTCCTTTTAAGTTGAACTAAGTCTATATTTTTCTCACCCCCTAATTCTTTGTTATATATATGCTGAGATTTTGTAAATTCCGGTTTAATAATACTTTGATATAGCTATTAGCAGCATTAAATAGCA